CCTTTTCCCTTCCACCCACCCATCCAAGGGGACTCAGCCCCTTTAACTTGCACTGACCCACCCAAGGGGTTTAACCCCTCTTCCTTTCCACTCACCCACCCAAGGGGTTTCAGGCCCCTTTCCCTTCCACTCACCCACCCAAGGGGTTTCAGGCCCCTTTCCCTTCCACTCACCCACCCAAGGGGTTTCAGGCCCCTTTCCCCCCACCCAGCCCGTCCCCACACTCACCTGCCAGCAGTAGGAGCAGCAGACAGCCCACTTCCTCAAGGAAACAGCACCCCCAGGGTCTGTGCCTTGTGGGGAGAGGTGTGGCAGTGGAAAAACGCTTCCTGCCCAAGACTCAAATCCCACCCCTGACGTAGCTAGAGCTGACGCGAACCAGAGCCGCCGGCCGGTCGGCTCTGACGGTGTCCATTAAGCCTTGAACGCCAGATCGGGAACCTGAGCACCGAGTGCCGTGCCGCGGAGTTTCCACCCACCCCACCTCACCCACAAGCCACAACCCTAGAAGGTTCTGCCCCCCCAAAGCTATGTGGACATGGACGCGTCCAGCGTCGACGCTGGCGTATATACGCTGGACGCTCGGATGTCAGGACCTGGACGCTTGGGCCGGGCAGGGGAAAAAAATTTCCGGGCAGGGGGAAAAAAAAGAGGGGGGAGAGGGGGGAAAGGGGGGTACCCGCCACAACACCATACATTTCCAGAGAAAATGTCATAAAAAAAAAAAAAACAGATTTATCCAAATAAATATTTCTACACACACACTTTCGGCCATCTACTGATACTCATCCACTTTCGGTCAAATTTTCTTCCCGGGCTGGCCCAAAAAATTTTGGCCGAGCGTCCAGCGTCCGACGAGCGTCTAGCGTCCAGCGTACGGACGCTAGCGCATATACGCTGGACGCTCGCTGTCCAGAGCGTATATGCCCACATAGCCCCAAAGGCAGTGAGCTCCCAAAGGCAGAGAACTCCGTGCTTGCTCCCACGCTCCCCACCCACCTGCCCACCCCACACTTCACCCCCATGCCTCCTTACTTGTACCTACCACAGCCATGCAGAGCGCCATGATGCCTTAGGCTGCTGGGAAGGGGGGAGAGGAGGGGAGCGAGGGGTTTACGGGAGGGCGGGACTCCACTGTGGTCCTGGTAGAGTGCTGCTGGGAGGGAAGGGAAAAGGGAGGAGAGGAGGAGGTGAGTGAGACGGTGGACCCCACTCTCCTGCCCTTGCTCCAGTGCTCCCAACTCCAGCCTGTAGGGGAGAGGGGCGAGAGAGAGAGGAGGGGATTAGAATACCATACCTCACTCACCTCTTACCATACCTCACCTCTTACCATACCTCACCTAGCCTAGCCTGCCCTCTAGCCCCCCAGCCCCCACTGCTGCTACTGCTGCTGCCGCTGCCGCTTCTGCTGCTGCCACTGCTGCTGTCGGTCTGCTACTCTGCTTCCTGCTACTCTGCTTCCTGCTACTCTGCTTCCTCTGATGCAATCTTCTCTTGATGCCAGGTGACCTGGTAGCGGGCAGGAAAGGGGAAAGGGGGGACAGGAGAGGAGGGACAGGAGGAGCTGGTGAGTTGGCTTGTACAGAAACACTCAAGTGAGCATAAGAGAACACTCTTGAACTCGAGGGGGCATCGAATCTCACCTTGTTCGGCCGACCCAATCCCGATACTCTCCCATCCCATCCCAGCCGAGTGGAGTGCTGCCCCCCTCCCCTCCCACCACTGCCACCTGCACGGCCACAAGGGGAGGGGCGCGAGGGAGTGGCGGTGTTGACCCCACGCCCCTCCCCTCCACCTGCCAGGAACACACACAGCAGCGGTGAGTGCACTGTGCGGGAACCAAAGGCGAATCGACTAAGCGAATAAACTGCAGAGAAGGGAAAAGGTAGGCGCCACTGGAGGAGGCACATCCACAAGCCACAGACCCCTTACCTTAGTGAACCAGAGGGGGTGAACCTGAACCTGAACCTGAACCTGAACCTGAACCTGAACCTGAACCTGAACCTGAACCTGAGGGGTTACCAACTTACCAGCAGTAGGGGTGGGGGGGTGTGTGACTTGTGAGGCGGGCCCCAACCAGTGGCGAGATTTCAGAGGGGAAAGCATGACGAACACATGCGATACAAAGGGCACGAAAGGCAACACCTAGGAGGAGGAATACTTAGCTGGAAAGTTGAAGCCTTGTTGCTGCCCTTTCTCCTCTCCTCCGGCTGCCCCATCCCCTCTGTCGCCCGCCTCTGCTGCCCTCCCTCCTGCTGCCCTCCGGATGTCCCCCTTGCCGCCCTGCTACAGCCTTCAATGCACTGGGCGCTGGCAGAACGCTGATGGGGAGGGGAGAGGGAGGGATGCAGGGAGCAAGGGACAGCAGTGAGAATGGGCAGAAGCGTGAAGGCAGGGAGGGAGCAAGAAAGGGAAGTGAGCATGGGGGAGCATGGGGAGAAGACCAGGCAGCTGAATTAGTGCATGAGGGAAGAGAGGCTCAACTTGTTCGGCCGACCCAATCCCGATACTCTCCCATCCCATCCCAGCCGAGTGGAGTGCTGCCCCCTCCCCTCCCACCACTGCCACAGTGCCACCTGCACGGCCACAAGGGGAGGGGTGCAAGGGAGGGGCGGTGTTGACCCCACGCCCCTCCCCTCCACCTGCCAGGCACACACACAGCAGCAGTGAGTGTACTGTGCGGGAACCAAAGGCGAATCGACTAAGCGAGAAAACTGCAAGGCGAGAAAAGGTAGGCGCCACTGGAGGAGGCACAGCCACATGCCACAGACCCCTGAGTGAACCTGGGGGGGTGAACCTGAAAGGGCTGTAAGGCTTAAGGGAAACTATACCTGTACCTGAGGGTTACCAGCAGTAGGGGTGGGGTGTCTGTGGCTAGTGAGGCGGGCCCAACCAGTGGCGAGATTTCAAACTCGTCGCCAGCGAGAACGAAACTAGCAGCAGCAAGGAGCGAACGCCGTCGTGATGGATAGTCGCGAGTCAGAAGCACATGGAGAGGTAAAGGCCAGACTGAAAGGTAGCGCAGGCAGAGATGTTAGGAGTTGGAAGAAATGATGGAGAAACAGGAGATTGAGCAGAAAGGGAAGCATTGGGGAATGGTTGCAATGCAAATTGTTGTACAGAACGAATTGCGCCTGCTGAGTTGCGATGCGAGGGGACTTCCACACTGCAGTCGATCGACATGCTCGTTAGCTACGTTGAGTACGGTTGAGATGGTTCCCGAACGGGTTGGGCTATGTTCCCTGTCTGGTACGTCCCAGCTTCCACAGGGTCGCTGCAGGAAGAGTTCAGCACAGCCCAGAGTCATCCCAACCAGTCCCGAGGTGGACCAAGCGGCGGAGGAAGGAAGTACCGCCCACAAGATTCGTGCCCGCGCTTTTCCGCGAGCGCGCATAATTTCGGACAAACGGTCGAGTGACGAAATACAGATCTGTCATGCGATATAACACTGGCGACGTGCTGGTCGTTTCGCTTGTGAAAACGAAGCAGTCTTGTTATGGGACGACAAACTTTTGCGAAACTCTTGTTACGGTTCTGGCTGGGGATTCCGCGGGCTTGTGGGGGATTTGCGGAGCGCAGTCTCAGAAGGCTGGGCTGCTGCTCAAACGGGTTGGCTGTGGGCGGAGCAATTGGGGGGAAGATTGCAGTGGAGTGAATTCTGAGATGATCATCGTGATCCAACGGACAGAGTGAATTCCCGCAGACCAACGCAGATGATCCGTCTGTGGATGTCCCTTCAATTGTATAGGTGCACTGACCCAAAAATATACTGTAAAAGCATTGCTTCTGCTGGAAGCATTTGGCGTTTGTATGCAACGAAATCCAAAGCAACAGTTTTCTGCTGTGTAGCTACTTTGGATCAAACACGTGGCAATGATTTTTTGTGGGGCAGTTCGAAAAGGCGTGTGCTTACCGACCACCCCTCTGGAAAAACGATAATTTCGTACCTGTCCTTCGGACACTCTGACTGGTCAAACATCCAATTCCACGAATCACATGGCTGCAACCATCATCCGGTCTGGAATGAAACTGAGGACCCACGGCAGGAGCATCCTGTAGCTTGGTAGCGTGGTGAGGAGATCCCTCGATAAAGTGCCATCCAGCACCAATTAAGTGGTGGTAGCGGAAAAGAAGCAGAAGCCAACCCCAATGATCCCTCCATTGAGTGGCCCCATCCCATCACACCGCATCCCACCACCAGGCAACCTGACTTCTTCTCAGCACAACGCCGTCCCTCGAGAGCTCCGCTTGCTTTTTCAGCATCATCCACTTCTCCCTTCTCTCCCACACACTAATATGATCCATTGATGCTGATCGATCACCACCAGGCAAAGGTTTCTGCTTTAGTACGCTGATAGTACCTTGCTTCATAGATTTTAACGTTCGTCCTTTTGCTTTCTCTTGCGAGGTATTATTGTGCCATTACCTTTCGTCATAGCTTTAATTAGTTAAGTTATTCAAACATTAGCCATTGTGTGTGCCTCCTGGCATAAGCATCGTTAAATTACTTCTCCATATCTATCTCTATATGCAGAGCTCCTAGTCGTTCCACGTAGAACCGTAGTCCTGCCCGTGCGCTTTATCCTGCGATGGCTCCGGGGGATGGGTTCGAGTTTAGCGGCGAGAGAGTAGTCGTAGGTGTGAGCAAAGACCCCTCGTGTAAGGACGCGATTAAGTGGGCCATCACGAATAAGCTAAGGAGTCCCGATGACATCCTCATCCTGCTTCACGTCGTCACTAAGATACCAAGCCCCAGTGAGTGGTGCTCTTATTCTGTGTCGTACTCGGCGGTATTTTCCCTGCTCCTGGACACGTGCTTTCAGCACTAAAGCAATGTTCTTTCGGGCGTTGCCAATGCGATTTGTCAAATGCCATCCGAAGAATGTATGGTTCAATTTCGTGACGGACAATGTTTTTTTCCAACAACAATGCTGGCATGATTATTTTCGTGATTGTCCTGCTCGTCCTGATTGTCTTGATTGTCCCGATTGTCCTGACAGGCATGGGAACGTATGGAAGCGGGGCTCGCGGTGGAGCAGGTGCGTAACGAACCCGAACCCTAAACTCTGCGTTGTCCCGGCCGTCTCTTCCGTCCGGGCGTCTCCTCCCTCTCGCTTACTTCTCGCCTCGTTTTCTAGTTGTTTTCTTCTGATCCTATTCAATTAACACCCGGGAATGGCTGGTGATGTCTGATTGATGTCCGGTGATGTTCGATGGCGGCTGTTGATGTCGAGCTGCTGTTGCTTTTTGTTTTTTTTTGTATATCTGTTGTCCCCATTGCACGTTGCAGGCGCGGAGATGTACCAGAGCGAGGTGAACAACACCATGTTCGTACACTACGTGCGCACCATCGTGCAGCCCATGATGCTGTCGCTCAAGAAGGTCGTCGATCCCAAGGTTAGTCGCGCAGCGCAGCCCACGATGCTGCGGCTTACAAATTTCTCTAAGTCAATTTCTCGAAGCACATTGCCTTAGTACCTCTTTGCCTTGTTGCCCGCGCCAGATCAAGCTGGAGCTGAAGGTCGGTCGTAATAATTCCCGGGAGAAGGGCATTGTGGAGGAATCGAAGAAGCTTAAAGCGACGTCGCTTGTTATTGGAACCAACGCCAGAGGCATGTTCAGCATGTAAGTACCCAGGCGATCAGTCACCTACAATGTACCAGCACTAAGGACCAAGCGGCCAGCTAGTTAGCTACAAATAGCTACCAACCACTCAGCGGCCAACCTTTTTTCGCATCAGCACACTCTTTGGCGCTCGCTCTCGCGCTCGCATCCCGTCTTAAGGAACTGCATGCATTCTCAAACATTCGGCCACCATTCGCCCTCACTAAACATGCCACGCCCCTCCGTTGCACATGCATTCTCGACACGTAAACCCGTCCCTCGTCTCCGCGCGCCTCACCTCAATCCCCCCAGGCGCGGCAAGTCCTCCAGCACGGGCGCGTACTGCGTGCGCTACAAGCCGCCGGGCATATCGGTGTACGTGATTCAGCGCGACAAGGTGATTCTATACAAGGAGTCGGAGGGCTCGCCCGTCTCCTCCTCCACCGGCAGTCCCTCGGGCTCCGGCCCCATGATGCCGCGCCCAGGCCCGCCCGGGGGTGCGGGCTCGGGGACGCTTGAACCCACCTACAGCGGCGCGTTCAGCGAGCAGGGTGAGTGAGGTTGCGGGGACATGAGCGGAGGCATGGGGGGCCATGGGGGGGCATGGGGGACATGGGGGGGCATGGGCATATCGGTGTACGTGATTCAGCGCGACAAGGTGATTCTCTACAAGGAGTCGGAGGGCTCGCCCGTCTCCTCCTCCACCGGCAGTCCCTCGGGCTCCGGCCCAATGATGCCGCACCCGGGCCCGCCTGGGGGCGCAGGCTCGGGGACGCTTGAACCCACCTACAGCGGCGCGTTCAGCGAGCAGGGTGAGTGAGCGCGCCGCCTTGATGTTTTTCGCTTGGTTCTGCGTTTGGCTTGATGGTTTTGCGTTTGGCTTGATGGCTTTGCGTTCTTGAGCGGCCTGGCGCCTTGCGCCGGTTGGTGTTTGGCTTGATGGCTTTGCGTTTGGCTTGATGGCTTTGCGTTCTTGAGCGGCCTGGCGCCTTGCGCCGGTTGGTGTTTGGCTTGATGGCTTTGCGTTCTTGAGCGGCCTGGCGCCTTGCGCCGGTTGGTGTTTGGCTTGATGGCTTTGCGTTCTTGAGCGGCCTGGCGCCTTGCGCCGGTTGGTGTTTGGCTTGATGGCTTTGCGTTCTTGAGCGGCCTGGCGCCTTGCGCCGGTTGGTGTTTGGCTTGATGGCTTTGCGTTCTTGAGCGGCCTGGCGCCTTGCGCCGGTTGGTGTTTGGCTTGATGGCTTTGCGTTCTTGAGCGGCCTGGCGCCTTGCGCCGGTTGGTGTTTGGCTTGATGGCTTTGCGTTCTTGAGCGGCCTGGCGCCTTGCGCCGGTTGGTGTTTGGCTTGATGGCTTTGCGTTCTTGAGCGGCCTGGCGCCTTGCGCCGGTTGGTGTTTGGCTTGATGGCTTTGCGTTCTTGAGCGGCCTGGCGCCTTGCGCCGGTTGGTGTTTGGCTTGATGGCTTTGCGTTCTTGAGCGGCCTGGCGCCTTGCGCCGGTTGGTGTTTGGCTTGATGGCTTTGCGTTCTTGAGCGGCCTGGCGCCTTGCGCCGGTTGGTGTTTGGCTTGATGGCTTTGCGTTCTTGAGCGGCCTGGCGCCTTGCGCCGGTTGGTGTTTGGCTTGATGGCTTTGCGTTCTTGAGCGGCCTGGCGCCTTGCGCCGGTTGGTGTTTGGCTTGATGGCTTTGCGTTCTTGAGCGGCCTGGCGCCTTGCGCCGGTTGGTGTTTGGCTTGATGGCTTTGCGTTCTTGAGCGGCCTGGCGCCTTGCGCCGGTTGGTGTTTGGCTTGATGGCTTTGCGTTCTTGAGCGGCCTGGCGCCTTGCGCCGGTTGGTGTTTGGCTTGATGGCTTTGCGTTCTTGAGCGGCCTGGCGCCTTGCGCCGGTTGGTGTTTGGCTTGATGGCTTTGCGTTCTTGAGCGGCCTGGCGCCTTGCGCCGGTTGGTGTTTGGCTTGATGGCTTTGCGTTCTTGAGCGGCCTGGCGCCTTGCGCCGGTTGGTGTTTGGCTTGATGGCTTTGCGTTCTTGAGCGGCCTGGCGCCTTGCGCCGGTTGGTGTTTGGCTTGATGGCTTTGCGTTCTTGAGCGGCCTGGCGCCTTGCGCCGGTTGGTGTTTGGCTTGATGGCTTTGCGTTCTTGAGCGGCCTGGCGCCTTGCGCCGGTTGGTGTTTGGCTTGATGGCTTTGCGTTCTTGAGCGGCCTGGCGCCTTGCGCCGGTTGGTGTTTGGCTTGATGGCTTTGCGTTCTTGAGCGGCCTGGCGCCTTGCGCCGGTTGGTGTTTGGCTTGATGGCTTTGCGTTCTTGAGCGGCCTGGCGCCTTGCGCCGGTTGGTGTTTGGCTTGATGGCTTTGCGTTCTTGAGCGGCCTGGCGCCTTGCGCCGGTTGGTGTTTGGCTTGATGGCTTTGCGTTCTTGAGCGGCCTGGCGCCTTGCGCCGGTTGGTGTTTGGCTTGATGGCTTTGCGTTCTTGAGCGGCCTGGCGCCTTGCGCCGGTTGGTGTTTGGCTTGATGGCTTTGCGTTCTTGAGCGGCCTGGCGCCTTGCGCCGGTTGGTGTTTGGCTTGATGGCTTTGCGTTCTTGAGCGGCCTGGCGCCTTGCGCCGGTTGGTGTTTGGCTTGATGGCTTTGCGTTCTTGAGCGGCCTGGCGCCTTGCGCCGGTTGGTGTTTGGCTTGATGGCTTTGCGTTCTTGAGCGGCCTGGCGCCTTGCGCCGGTTGGTGTTTGGCTTGATGGCTTTGCGTTCTTGAGCGGCCTGGCGCCTTGCGCCGGTTGGTGTTTGGCTTGATGGCTTTGCGTTCTTGAGCGGCCTGGCGCCTTGCGCCGGTTGGTGTTTGGCTTGATGGCTTTGCGTTCTTGAGCGGCCTGGCGCCTTGCGCCGGTTGGTGTTTGGCTTGATGGCTTTGCGTTCTTGAGCGGCCTGGCGCCTTGCGCCGGTTGGTGTTTGGCTTGATGGCTTTGCGTTCTTGAGCGGCCTGGCGCCTTGCGCCGGTTGGTGTTTGGCTTGATGGCTTTGCGTTCTTGAGCGGCCTGGCGCCTTGCGCCGGTTGGTGTTTGGCTTGATGGCTTTGCGTTCTTGAGCGGCCTGGCGCCTTGCGCCGGTTGGTGTTTGGCTTGATGGCTTTGCGTTCTTGAGCGGCCTGGCGCCTTGCGCCGGTTGGTGTTTGGCTTGATGGCTTTGCGTTCTTGAGCGGCCTGGCGCCTTGCGCCGGTTGGTGTTTGGCTTGATGGCTTTGCGTTCTTGAGCGGCCTGGCGCCTTGCGCCGGTTGGTGTTTGGCTTGATGGCTTTGCGTTCTTGAGCGGCCTGGCGCCTTGCGCCGGTTGGTGTTTGGCTTGATGGCTTTGCGTTCTTGAGCGGCCTGGCGCCTTGCGCCGGTTGGTGTTTGGCTTGATGGCTTTGCGTTCTTGAGCGGCCTGGCGCCTTGCGCCGGTTGGTGTTTGGCTTGATGGCTTTGCGTTCTTGAGCGGCCTGGCGCCTTGCGCCGGTTGGTGTTTGGCTTGATGGCTTTGCGTTCTTGAGCGGCCTGGCGCCTTGCGCCGGTTGGTGTTTGGCTTGATGGCTTTGCGTTCTTGAGCGGCCTGGCGCCTTGCGCCGGTTGGTGTTTGGCTTGATGGCTTTGCGTTCTTGAGCGGCCTGGCGCCTTGCGCCGGTTGGTGTTTGGCTTGATGGCTTTGCGTTCTTGAGCGGCCTGGCGCCTTGCGCCGGTTGGTGTTTGGCTTGATGGCTTTGCGTTCTTGAGCGGCCTGGCGCCTTGCGCCGGTTGGTGTTTGGCTTGATGGCTTTGCGTTCTTGAGCGGCCTGGCGCCTTGCGCCGGTTGGTGTTTGGCTTGATGGCTTTGCGTTCTTGAGCGGCCTGGCGCCTTGCGCCGGTTGGTGTTTGGCTTGATGGCTTTGCGTTCTTGAGCGGCCTGGCGCCTTGCGCCGGTTGGTGTTTGGCTTGATGGCTTTGCGTTCTTGAGCGGCCTGGCGCCTTGCGCCGGTTGGTGTTTGGCTTGATGGCTTTGCGTTCTTGAGCGGCCTGGCGCCTTGCGCCGGTTGGTGTTTGGCTTGATGGCTTTGCGTTCTTGAGCGGCCTGGCGCCTTGCGCCGGTTGGTGTTTGGCTTGATGGCTTTGCGTTCTTGAGCGGCCTGGCGCCTTGCGCCGGTTGGTGTTTGGCTTGATGGCTTTGCGTTCTTGAGCGGCCTGGCGCCTTGCGCCGGTTGGTGTTTGGCTTGATGGCTTTGCGTTCTTGAGCGGCCTGGCGCCTTGCGCCGGTTGGTGTTTGGCTTGATGGCTTTGCGTTCTTGAGCGGCCTGGCGCCTTGCGCCGGTTGGTGTTTGGCTTGATGGCTTTGCGTTCTTGAGCGGCCTGGCGCCTTGCGCCGGTTGGTGTTTGGCTTGATGGCTTTGCGTTCTTGAGCGGCCTGGCGCCTTGCGCCGGTTGGTGTTTGGCTTGATGGCTTTGCGTTCTTGAGCGGCCTGGCGCCTTGCGCCGGTTGGTGTTTGGCTTGATGGCTTTGCGTTCTTGAGCGGCCTGGCGCCTTGCGCCGGTTGGTGTTTGGCTTGATGGCTTTGCGTTCTTGAGCGGCCTGGCGCCTTGCGCCGGTTGGTGTTTGGCTTGATGGCTTTGCGTTCTTGAGCGGCCTGGCGCCTTGCGCCGGTTGGTGTTTGGCTTGATGGCTTTGCGTTCTTGAGCGGCCTGGCGCCTTGCGCCGGTTGGTGTTTGGCTTGATGGCTTTGCGTTCTTGAGCGGCCTGGCGCCTTGCGCCGGTTGGTGTTTGGCTTGATGGCTTTGCGTTCTTGAGCGGCCTGGCGCCTTGCGCCGGTTGGTGTTTGGCTTGATGGCTTTGCGTTCTTGAGCGGCCTGGCGCCTTGCGCCGGTTGGTGTTTGGCTTGATGGCTTTGCGTTCTTGAGCGGCCTGGCGCCTTGCGCCGGTTGGTGTTTGGCTTGATGGCTTTGCGTTCTTGAGCGGCCTGGCGCCTTGCGCCGGTTGGTGTTTGGCTTGATGGCTTTGCGTTCTTGAGCGGCCTGGCGCCTTGCGCCGGTTGGTGTTTGGCTTGATGGCTTTGCGTTCTTGAGCGGCCTGGCGCCTTGCGCCGGTTGGTGTTTGGCTTGATGGCTTTGCGTTCTTGAGCGGCCTGGCGCCTTGCGCCGGTTGGTGTTTGGCTTGATGGCTTTGCGTTCTTGAGCGGCCTGGCGCCTTGCGCCGGTTGGTGTTTGGCTTGATGGCTTTGCGTTCTTGAGCGGCCTGGCGCCTTGCGCCGGTTGGTGTTTGGCTTGATGGCTTTGCGTTCTTGAGCGGCCTGGCGCCTTGCGCCGGTTGGTGTTTGGCTTGATGGCTTTGCGTTCTTGAGCGGCCTGGCGCCTTGCGCCGGTTGGTGTTTGGCTTGATGGCTTTGCGTTCTTGAGCGGCCTGGCGCCTTGCGCCGGTTGGTGTTTGGCTTGATGGCTTTGCGTTCTTGAGCGGCCTGGCGCCTTGCGCCGGTTGGTGTTTGGCTTGATGGCTTTGCGTTCTTGAGCGGCCTGGCGCCTTGCGCCGGTTGGTGTTTGGCTTGATGGCTTTGCGTTCTTGAGCGGCCTGGCGCCTTGC